GTCAATGTGATCCTCTTCCAAAATACCAATCAATGGAATTCTTCACATGACTAGAAAAACAATCTTAAATTTTCCGAGGAAGCACAAAAGGCCCTACATATCCAAAGCAATCTTGAGCAGAAAAAGCAATGCGTAACAATCCTGATTTCAAGACATTATACTCAGTTGTGTGTGGTGGTTCACGCCTGTAATACCAAGACTTTAGAGGCAGTAGCAGGAGCATCACTGTGAGTTCCAGGTCAGCATGGACTACTAAGTGAGAACCTATTGCAAATAAGCAAAAGGAGACCTACTCCAGACCACAACAGACCAAGTGCAACAGGGCAGAAGAGATGTCCAGAGATGAACCTATAGATTTATAGCCACCTAACTCTTGGTGTAAATACTAAAACATATACCATCAAAATGACAATCACTTTGATAAATCACATTGGGAAAACTGTCTATCCACAAAGGACAAAGTTTACTCTGCTCTCTCATCCTATACAAAAATCAACTCAAAACACATCACAGACCTGAATGGTAAACAGGAAATTCTGAAACTACTAGAAGAAAGCACGGGCAAACACTTGACGCAGTGGTACTACAGTGATTTTTTTTTTCTTTTTTGGCTAGAATCTTCAAAAGATGGGAAACAAAACCAAAACGTGATAAATACAATGACATCAAATTTAAATGCCTCTGTATTTAAAAGAAAAGAAAACAGTCAACAGGGAGGAAAGACAGTCACAGTCACAGAAGGCGAGAAAATACTTGACAGCTATTCATCTGAAAAAGGACTGATATCCAGATTATCAAAGGAGCTAAAAACACCAAAATGCAAACAAGCAATTAAACACTGTGTGCAAATGACCTGAACAGATACTTCTTAAAAGAAAAAATATAAATGAGGGTGATGACAAACACAATTAATCCTTTAGAATTGGGACAACGCATATCAAAACCACAATGACATTTTATATTACGCCAGTCAGAAAAACTATTATCAAAATGCAAAAGAAAGAGGAATACTGTCAAGGGCACAGAGCTAAAGAATTTATTGTTGGCAAGGTAAATTATTATAGCTATGATGGAGAAGAGAATGGAGGTTCCCTATAAAAACAAAAACCACAAGCAGAACTGCCATGTGATTCAGCAACCCTACTTTATGTATATCATATACAGCCAAGATAATAAAATCAGCAGAACAAGGTGATTTATCCCACACACTCATTTTCATAAAAGCACAGCAGCTGGGCATGTGGAACCATGTAGGTACCAATTAATAGACGAATATAAAGAAAATTTGGCATACATACACATGGAGTATTGTTCATCCCAAAGGAAGAGTGAAAGTTTGTCATTTGATGCAAAATGGTTGTGAATTATGTTGCGTAAAATAAAATAGAGACAGAGAGACAAATGTTCCGTTTTTGGAAGATAGAATAAAAGAAGACAAGGTGACCTAGAAGTGGGAAAGGGATTACTAGAGGTTGAGAAGGATGCACAGGTGAGATATGGGCAAAGAGTGATGGGCCTGAAACAGTACACACTGTAGACATGTACGGAGAGCACAGCAAAGCCCATCAAACAGTATAGAGTTACCCAGTGTAAATGGAGAAAGGTTAGCTATGTTTGCTCTTCTGGGAAAAACTGGCACTGAAGCAGATTTGAAGAGCATATTTCTTGGGAGAAATTCCTCTAAAGAATAACAAAGGAGCAAGCAGGATTGGTTAGGAAGAGCCAAAGAGCCATGGTCATACAAGAAACAACAGTCTTCAGGAGAACCTTGGACCTTGCTGCAATCTGACAGTACCATTGCCCTTTAACAACTGTGGGGACAGACGTAGACCCTGTCAAATAGAAAACCCCAACAATGCTCAAGTCCTTGGTACAGAATGATCTCATGTCTCTATATTCTTTAAATTGTCTCTAAGTTCCCCATAAAACTTAAACTAGTGTAAATATCAATAGTGGTCACATTTTTTGAGGAACAATAAGAAATAATACATTTGCACAGGTACATTTTGCTGATCATTTTCAGTATGCTGCTGGCTGAATCCATAGATGAAGAACTCTGCATATGGCCCACATGGACACAGGGGCCAATTGTATTAGGGCAACCCAATGGGCAAGTTCCCATGAGAGGAGACCTGCAAATGGGCAGAAATGGACTGACATTCATAGTCTAGCTGTCTCCACTTACTGGCTATGGGTGACCCAGAAGAAATTAATCTTGGCACAGAAGCTGGGACAAGATCACAAAGCGCTGCATTGATAGGTTCTCAGTTAACCGAACTTCTCAGAATCGAAGCCCAGCTTCTTTCTTGATGAAGCTCCAATCCAGTCACTCCTTAGCTATTTTCTTCTTAAGGTAGCAAACTGAAAATATGCTTTCTAAGGTTAAGTCAGTGGAGAATCAGTCATGGAAGATAGGCGAGTGATACTCAGAAGACTGAAAACATAAAGAAGATGTTTGCTATGATAAACAGAAAGGAGAGAAGGAGAGAGAGAGAGAGAGAGAACACTAACAACAGGTACAAAATTGGGGTCTATCTAGTGAAAAAAATTCACTTCTTATAAGTCACAACTCAAGAATCAACCTGGGGCCTAAGGAGAGAATGGGAACGTGTATTCAGAAACAAAGCTAAGTATATACTAGCTCGCTTCTTTCTTTAGAATAACCTTCCATTCCTTGCACCTCACTGTGTAGTGAATGTAACCCAATATGCTGAAAACCTACCTATCTGGTTCACTAAATTCAGTCACCTTTGCATATAACTAATGTTACTTTTCCCAACTCCCACCCTACCTGTGTCACCAACCTCTTCCAGAGAAACGTTAACTGTGCCCAGGGAAGACAGAGGATTTGAGTGGAAAAAGAGGAAATCATGATATTCCCTGTCATATTTCTATGAGAATAGCTTTTGTCTACCTAGTATCTTTTACCCTTCTAGGGACTGAAGCTGAGGTTAAGGGTCCAAAAAAAAAAATCACAGCTAGATTCCTTTTGGTCAGGATCTTTCATACTCTCTGGCTTACTGGGTCTTAATGTACCAGAAAGTTCTCACATTCTCCATTCTGCCCTGGTCCCTTAACCACAACAGGCCCAAGTATTGACTTAATTCATACAGACCACTGTCCCCCAGGGATTTGTGGGTATCCTGCATTTAACTTACAAAGCATACCACTCTAAGTACCCACTGACTGCTTATTTGTGCCACCACGGGTAGCTAAGGAGGAAGTATCTAATTTGAGCTGGTCTACAAGACAGTGACCTGCCAGAGTCCCAGGGACTCAGGCCTCCTACACTCTCCTATGCCTGTCCTGGGGTCTGCATCTTTGTGCCTTCTCTACCTTTTTAGGGAAGTACAGTCTTTATTCACATTTTCAAAGGAATCATATTAAGAATGAACCCAAATATTAATCAAGTCTTTTGTCTTTTTTTTCCCCAAAGCACGGAATCAACATTTTTTTAATCTTTACAACACCGCTGTGAGATAGGTCAACAGATCCTGTCTCAGAGAACGGAGGCGGAAGTCAAGAGAATCTTGCCCAAACCGGACTGCGGCCACAAGGGCAGCTGGGGAGGGATGGACCAGAAGCAGGGGCTCCTGGTCCTACACTCAGCCACTGGAGGACATCGCATAGGTGTATTTCTACCAATGAGGGTCACATACACAAAGAATGAAAAGGATCTCTCGGCCAACAACAGAAAAACCAACTTTGAACAGGACGGGAAAACGTTTCAGTCAGAGAGGACACTGACCGGCACACGGATGACGAGGCGAGAGAGTAGGCTCTGAGAAAGGCTGGCTGGGTGGGTGGGTAGGTGGGGGTGACAGGGTGACCACCTGGGATTTGGATCAGCAACCTTCGGGACGGTTTGGACAATTGTAAACAAACTAGGGACCCGATCCAGAGGTGACCAGCTCTATTCTTCGTGGCTTCCAAATAGGAGAGGACGTGGAAAAACACAGGGAAGTCCATTCAACCTAACTTTATGCTGGAAACGAGGATTACATGTGCCCCTGTGAGAAAGACCGGGCGTGCCTGACACTGGTCCACTGGCCCTCGGCATCCCATCCGCACACCAGTTCCTTTTAAAATATCATAACCAAGTTAAAGATGCCAAATCTGTCTTTTGTCTTTTGAAGACAAAAAAGAAAGTCAAATAAACAGAAATTTTGGATTAAGAAGGAAAAAATCAAATTTAATAGAGCTTTGGTTGGAGAGAAACAAAGATCATTAGAAAAGAAGCTATTATTTAAAAATATAAAGCAAAGCATGTTACAGCACACAGGCATTCCCTATCTCTATCTCATGACTATATGACATGAGAAATGGAAAAATCATGCATTCCACTTCAGGCAACCTTTTCTTCACTAATGTAAGTACCGTTTACTGATTTAGCCACTACAGTTATATACCCAAAAGTGAGAGCAAGAAACACAAAGGTGATACATCATATAACTCACATATATATGTATGTGTGTGTATCTATATACACACATATGTTGACAGAGTGAGTTGATGATCATCAAAATACAAAAACAAGTTATGTATGCTACTTATGTTTGTCTTTGCTTGAGTTTTTTACTTTTTAAATTGTTTTTATTGTGCTATACGTTTTTCTCTGCTCCCCTCCCTTCTTTTCCTTTCCCCTTCTACCCTCTCCCATGACCCTTATTGCTGCTAAGAAGAGACACCTTGATCACGGCAACACTTATAAAGAAAACATTTAATCAGGCTGGCTGACTTACAGTTTAGAAGTTCAGTCTATTATCATCATGATGGGTATCATGGTGGCATGCAGACAGATGTGCTGGAGGAATATCTGAGAGTCCTACCTCTTGCAGACAGCAGGGTAGAGACTCAGACACTGGGTGGTATTCTAAGTATAGGAGAACACAAAACCTGCCACACAGAGATGCAGTTCCTCCAACAAGGCCATACCCACTCCAACAAAGTCAGCCTTTCTAATAGTGCCACTCCCTATAACACTGTGGGGATCAATTACATTCAAACTACCACATCCTACTCCCTGGCCCATATAAGCTTGTAACAATATCATAATGCAAAAAGCACTTAGTCCAACTTCAGAAGTTACCATCCAAAGTTTCTTCTGAGACTCGCCCAATTTCTTAACTGCAAGCCCCTGTAAAATAAAAATAAAAAACCAGATCACATACTTCCAATATATAATGGCACAAGATATATATTACCATTCCAAAACATTGGGAAAAGAGCATAGTGAGGAAATATAGAACCAAAATAAGATCAAAAATCAGCTGAGCAAACTTCAAACATTAGATCTCCATGCCTGGTGCCAAAATACTCTTCAGATCTCCAACTCTGCTCAGGTTTGACTACAACACACTTCTTTATCTTGGGTTGGTTCCACTCCCAGTTAGCAGCTGTCCTCAGCAAGTACCCATGGCTTTGGCATCTCTAACAACTTAGATTCTCTAAGACATTCCAGGCTTCAGCTTCACAGCTTCACACAATGGCCTCTTTACTAGACCTCCATTCAGGAAGACCCCGGACACATGCCAAACCTCAGCAACTTTACTCTCTAACTCCTTTCTTCCATCCTTAACTCATAAAGCCAGAACCACATGACTGAAGCTGCCAAGTTCTGCGGCTTGCTGGGGCTGGAACATAGCTCCCTCACTCAATTACATATTCACCAGCTTGCTGTCTTTCACTACCTAAGTTTGGTTGTCCTGAAACTTACTCTGTACTCCAGGTTGACCTCAAAATCAGATATCCAACAACCTCTGCCTCCCATGTGCTGGGATTAAAGGTGTGTCCCACAACACCTGACTCTAAGCTTATCTTTAGTTTCTTTCAACAGGTTGGAAACATTGCTGGGTGGGATCTTACCTAAGGTCACCAATCATTTTATTCAATTTCTTAACCTGTTTATATCCTTGAACACAGAATTTAGCTATATTACAATTCCTAGTGATCTTTTTCATCTCAAAAATTTCATTTTGTAATATCCCTGCTCAGCTTGTTCCTTTTCATTATAAATATTCACTAGAGTTATCACTAAAAACCATATAACAGAGTCTATTCTCAGCTGTTTTGAGATTTCTTCTAACAACAGAATTAACCCAGAACTCTTCCCTTTAGTCTCAGGCAAATGCTTTGGACAAGGGTAAAAGGCAACCAGTTCCTCCATCGAAGTATCACAAGAACAATGTCTAGGTCACATACTAACATTCTTTTCCTCTGAAAACTCTTGAGGTAGCCTCCCCACAGTTCATCAAATCACACTCAGCACAACTGTCTTCCATAGTCCTACTGGTTGGCCCATTTAGAAGCACTTAAAGCATTCTACCGCTCTCCTAACTCAAACTTCCAAAGTCCATATTACTCAAAAAAAAAAAATCATGGTCAGAGTTATCACAGCAATACCTCAGACTTTGCTACTAACTTCTCTCTTAGTTAGGTTTATGTTGATACAAAGAGATACCATGATCATTGCAACTCTTAAGATAACATTAAATTGGGATGACTCACTTAGAATTTCAGAGGTCCAGTCCATTATCATCATGGTGGGAAACATGAAGCATGCAAGCAGATGCAGTGTTGGAAGAGTAGCTGAGAATTCTACATTTTGTAGACTGAGACACTGGGCACTATCCTAAGCATAGGAGAACCTGCCCCCATAGTGACACATTCCTTCCTACAAGGCCATGCCCACTCCAATAAAGCCAGATCTCCTAGTAGTGACACTCCCTTTGATACAAATTTAAGGTCAATATTCTTATACTGTATATATGCGTTTCTGCTCTTGTTTAAGGTATTGTGTTTGTGCAGCTCATTTTAAAAGTAATGAATAGTTAAGACTACAGATTAATAATCATCTATTAAAATCAAACTGTTGTCATGTTAGTTAGGTTTTCTAGATGTACAGAGATATATTTCAAATAGATAAGTATCCTTCAAACCTATTTACAAAGAAAATTTGAAACCTATTGTAGGTTTTGAAGACCTACAGAATATGGAATTTAAAATGTTTCAAGAATTTAGACTTTTCTCAATAGTGAGACCTCTCTGCTTCTGACAGCATCAGTTACTTCAGAGAAGTTGACAGGTATTGAAAAAACTCATTATGTAATTTGCCTTCAATGTAAATGGCTAACAAGGCTAGCCATTTAGGCAAGAAACAGTTCTTGCCTGGACTGCTTGATGGTATGCTGTATAAACTGGACATGCAGGACCCACAGAAAAATGACTGCTGAACTTTGCAGAAGATGGGATAGTCTTTCAGGATTCTTGCTTCACAGAAAAAACTGCCAGACATTCTGCAGGACACAGAAGAAAGCAGCTGATAAACTTTGCCATTAAAAGGCAGAACAGATCTTCAAATTTTCTGCTTCATGGAAAACTCAGTTGTATATTATGGGCCTGTAGAATGAATATAGATGCTTCAACATTACAGAAAAACTTTGGGTGATTTTCCAGGCAGCATGTGATGTCTCTGTCAACTATAGAACTTTAGAAGTTGCTTACAATGCACTTAGAAAATATTATATCCTTCTGGGGTCTATGAAAAGTTGAAAACAAATAGTGATAGTTCTCCTTAGTTATAATAAATGATAAATTAGATATAAAACTTTAGACTCACAAAGATATGATAGATGATAGAGTATTTTCCTTAATTTGTCAAATGTAAATAGACTAAATATTATAACTATAGTTATTGCTTGATAAGTGTTTTGTATATGTGGTGCAGGAGAATTGTCTGTATTCTGTCAATCATATTTTAAATAAATGCTGATTGGCCAGGCAGGAAGTATAGGAGGGAAAACTCGACAGGAAGTAGAGGTGGAGCAAAGAGAATGGGAGTATTCTGGGAAGCAGGAAGCTCCCTCCACCACTCCTGCCCAGACCACCAAAGAAGCAACATGTGAACTGACAGCTGGAAAAGGTATTGAGCCACATGGATAACACAGACAAGAATTATGGGTTACCATAAGATATAAGAATTAGTTAATAAGAAGACTTGAGCTAATGGGTCAATCAGTTTATAATCTTATGGAGTCCTGTGTGTGATTTTCTTTGGGGCTTGCCGGCTGTGGAATACTGGGAGGGACAGATACCCCAACAAGCCAGCCTTTATGTTACAGATGGCACCCATGAGGATAACTGAATCCACAGAAAACTTGAGAAAGCTTGGAAAAAAATAGAGAAAAGCATATTTTCTTGGTGGCAGCAATTTCTCAGGTCTGTGCTGCTTGCTAGAGGCAAGCAAGCACTCTCATCTAAGAGCGGCTTCCTGACTCAGCTTTAGCTGCAAAACCTTGCAGCTCTTTCAAGAGGTCCTGCCACGAAATATTTAAATGGTGTTGATGAAAAGCTGAATGCATGCTTTTCAGTTTTCAGCTGTAGCAGTAAAAAAAAGCCATGCTGTTTTAAAATGCTGGCTTTCTGGGCCATCCTGCCAGGGCAAACTCTGACTCTTTCAGGCAGGCAGTCTGACTGAGTGTGGTCTGTGAGCAGAATGCTGCAGATTGCTTGCTGGCAGGGACCTTGAACTGCCACAGAGTTGTGGCAATAAAAATGGCTCCAGTGGTCTTCTGCCATGAGGCTGGAAAGCTAAGAAATTGGTTGGATCCATCCATCAAAGCCACGGCTCTTCATATTGCTTAGTAAATTAAAGACTCATGTGGTCAGAAAAAGAGAGATATACAGTAAAGAGAGATTCAAAGAGGAAGAAAACCTCTAAATGATTTACAGTGTGTTAAAGATATATGTAGGCTAAAGGTTAAAGTCATTAAAATAAAAAAGAAAGAGAGAAGTAGGGTGTGGTGGGACACACCTTTAATCCCAATGCCTGGAAGGCAGAGGTAGATTGACCTCTGTGACTTCAAGGGGCAGAGGTTGATTGATCTCTGTGAGTTCAAAGTGTGGTAGCACACACCTTTAATCCCAGCACTGGGGAGGCAGAGACAGACAGATCTCTGTGAGTTCAAGGACAGCCTGGTCTACAGAGTTATTCCAGGACAAAGATATACAGAGAACATGTCTCAAAAAGTAAAAGTAAAAATAAAAGAAAGAGAGGTTAAAATAAAGCCTCATAAAGATGGAAAATACACAGAGAATCTTGATGCTGTATACTATTATGCTCTCATTGAATTGTTTGAATGCTGATGATGGAGCAACAGCTGCTAAAAAGATATTTGCTTATAAATGCTGCAGAATTAATCCAAGATAGGTATTTTGAAAATACCTTGGCTTCAAAATTGAAGTCAAAGGGTATGTTACTTTGGAGAAGAGATTTTTCTTTTGTTTCCACAGAAAATGAGAGGCTCTGGATTCATTCTGAGTTAAGAAAAATCCAGTTTGATCAAGGAAGACCATCTGAGAAATCTCTGGTAGGAACAGATGGCTCAGATGTCTGAATTATACATCCAGAACAGATTCAAGACTGCTGCCTGAGATGATCAAGACTCACTGGATACTCCAGTCAGGACTTGATTATAACTCTAAATTTTCTTTAGGTCCCCATAAGATTATCAGTGCCCCCAACCAGCCGAAAGTGCCTGAAATACTATGCCCACATTCCTAACAAATGGACTATGAGTATTTTCCTTTGTTTAAAAAAAGAGAGAGGGAAATGGTGCGGGAGAATTGTCTGTATTCTGTCAATCGTGTTTTAAATAAATGCTGATTGGCCAGGCAGGAAGTATCATATCTTGGAGAAAAACCTACCACCACCATGTTATCAAACCAGCAAAATCTCAAACTACACTCTAAAATACTTGTCTTTCTACCCACAGATAAGCACAGTCCTCAGCTCTCATCAAGAAAACTTCTCTTTGTAACAGATAGGAGACCATTACAGAAAACTAAAACCAATCAAAATGAAGTGCTGTGGAGACCAGTCCCAATGGATACACCTAAAAAACAATTCTCTCACCAAGGCTCTAAGAACATTGTGGAAAAGAGGACAAAAACTACTATAAAACTCAGAAGATCAAGGAGCTTGCTATGAGAGTGTATCTCCTAGCAATATTAGAAGCTATGCCCATAAAGTCTCACCAACGTGAATGCCAAAACATGAGCTAAGGACAACAATAGATATGGCAAAGTGGACAGAGAGAAGCCTGTGAAGTTTGAACCCTAAACAAAGAACAATAGCAA